TTATGGGTTAATATATATATATATATATATATATATATATATATATATATTAAAATCTAAAAATATTGTCTGGCTTTAAATAGCCAGCAAAGTATTGATAAACTTTTGAAAACAAATCAATCAATCAATTCATGACAATTCAAAGATAATAATGAAAAGAAACACGTGGAGAGCCACGGTCGCATTTAAATGATGGAATTAAAAACAAAAAAGGAGATAGGAATAAAAGGTACATGCAGTATGGATGATCTGGTAATGTAACGGTTATCAGCACAGGAAAATGGAATCGGCAGGTCAAGTTCAAATTCCAGCTAAGATTGTTGCGTCTACACCATGTTAATGCCCGTGGGAAAGGTATGAACCCATTCTTCTCCCCATCCGCATTAGCTAAGAGTAAAATAGAATGGACTATGCTCTTTAGTCTTGGTGGGGAGTAGCCATTCTAAGAGAAGGACAACTCTGAGTTAAAAACCGTGGAGAAGGTATTAAGAATACCCATTGTGATTGACAATATTCACATAATAGAAAAAAATATAGTACAGATATCGGATATAGGATAGACGAGTCGATTGTTAAGGATCTTGCAAATATTCGCACTGAGAGGAGGAAATTAAGACTATTAATAAGCTTATTAGTTTAGTGATCTATGGGTCCTATAGCCTTGGTTGGCGACTAGTCTACGAGAAGTAAACCTCTGAATTCAAAACAGCCTGAAGAGGGTTGGGCTCCGTCGGGCTACATTGCCTAAGAAACACCACTGCTACTGTGGCTGCAATACGTTTGGTACTCCTATGACCCTAATGGGCTATGGAACGTATCATCATCATTGTCAAAGGAAATGAGATAAAGATAGACCATAAGAGAATAAATTAAGCCAATAAATAATATTACCGTTTATTTCTACAATGGTAAATAGAATGAAACATAATATAAGGGGGTAAATCAATATTCTTCTTCAATATACCATGTGTCTTAAGGATCTTGGCGATCATGGTTCTCCAAAACCTCCTATCCTTTGTAACTCTTAATAAATTTTATAATTTTGTTATCTCTCCTAAACCTTGTCCCACAATCCATTTACTCAAGCTCACTAGGCAGGTTATGCGTTGTTTCTTTTGTCCCTCTTACCTTCAATCTGTTCTGTGTGTATTACATTTTCCAAGCCCTCTTTCCTCATGATGTGCCCTAGAAAGTTCAACTGTCCCTTCCTGGTGTTAAGTATAAGTGTCCTTTTTGTTTCCATCTTCTGTAAAACTTCGTCGTTGCTCACATGTTAAGTGCTTGTTATTCCTAACATCATTCTGTAGAACTACGTATCTATTGCATCAATTTTGGTTTTTCATCTCTAAGGATATTATCCAGAATTCACAGCCATATTAGGACCGGTATTGTGTAACAGTTCAGTGTTCTTTTCTTTGTCTCTAACGAAATTTTAGTTTCTTAATACTTTGCTTAAATTTTTGAAGGCATCTTTCGCTATCCCAATGCGCCTTTGGATTTCAGTGTCACACCTTCCGTACTCTTCCAGGTATTATTTATAAAGTAGGAAATAAAATGAGATAACAATAATAATTTTATATAGCTCGAGGATTATTTATTAGTAAAAAAAAGTAAGAAATCGGACATTTTCTGTGTCTTTCCAGTTCTCGGAATTTCGGATAATAGAGTATGTGCCTGTATTAACATTAATTAAATTTGGCAGAACTTATCTCTTCTGTGGATCTTTATCTTGTAATCCTACAGAAATACATTAATGCGTTATGACACCTGAGAATGGTTGGCCGATTGTGAGATTTAAAACTGAACTCCAAGCCTAAACTCATTAGCATTGTTCATTTTCCACAGTTATTGAAGAACACACACACACAGACGTTAGACTATGTGCATGTACATTTCCCCAGTTATAATGAACGTATAATAACAGCAATGATATACGGGCGTGAAACATGGGAAATCGTAAAAATCGCTCGAAAACAAAACTGAGAAACGCACAAAGATTAATGGAAAGAGAAACGAGACGCAAAGAGATAGAATGAGGATTCAAAAACAGGCCAAGATAAAGGATAACATAGAAGAGATTAAACGACAAAAACAGAACGTAATGGAGGACACATTGCAAGAAGAAAGCATAACAGGGCGAGCACAAGGTTGTCATATTAGTGGGCAACAGCAAACGCAGACAAAAAAATAGAGACGGTTTTTTTTTATGGCAAATGATAGCACAGTTTTTCCAGAAGTGGACTCACCATGGGTGCTGCTGCTGAGTACATATATATATATATATATATATATATATATATATATATATATATATATATATTGTGAAAAGTCCGACAAGTATTTATAAACAGAATTAATTACATTTACCGACCCGAATGTTCGAGAAATTTCGTAGAAAATATGAGGCACGTCAAGGTAAATGACGGTTCCGTATAGGATACAGGTTCGAATCTTTTTGGAGAACGAATATTTTCTGTGAAAATTTCTTGGACATTCAGGCCGGTAAATGTTGTTTAATACTGTTTATTATAAACAGAGCATTTACTTAAATATTTGTATCTATAAAAAGAATGTATAAACATAAAATGTCTTAAAATAATTGTCGGACTTTGTCCATTTCATAATACACACACACACACACACACACACACATATATATATATATATATATATAGATAGATAGATAGATAGATAGATAGATATAAGGTTAATGGTCAGAGTTGAATCAGACCAGGAAATAGTGGTATTAAAAACTGCCCAATATCGCCTGAGGATACCGTAATGTTGAAACCAATGTAGCGGATTCAAGTGATCTGATTTTTAAAGTATATATATATATATCATTTCACCAGAAGCAAGGCGATAATGCGACTAAGACACATGGGGTTACTGGGAGTGGAAGGGAATGAAATCATTAGTTAGGAGACAGTAAAAGAACAGGTTTCAGAAAGACAAAGTATAGCAATTAATGTTGCATTTAGGTTTTTGAAGGTTGTAAGCGGCAGGGAAGCAAGAGATCGGAAGAGAGCTCCACAGGTGAGAAATGCGTGAAAAAAAAAACTATTACAATAAAACGTACGGTTACATCTCGCTATCCCCAAAGTAAAATGATTAGACCTTGATGCTAATTTAATAAGTATTCTTAAATTCACGCGGTCGAGGTACCGAGGAAGAGAGTTCATTAGAACAACAGCTATGTGTTGTGAGGAAAGCCAAAGTTTAGCTCAAGGCGCGCATGTCTATCGTACTACTGCAAGTAAACAATTCACAAAGGTACTTATTGACATTCCTGTGGTTTTGTTATCTGTGCTGGAGACGTCGTGCAGTCTGACACTGCTGCCCTTACAAGCTGTAGAACTTGACGAACGTTTGTTTCAAGTGACCGCCCAGAACCTGATCTACAGTATGACGTGACCATCTAGAACCTAATCTACAAATGTAGACATGTTCATTTGATTATTCATTATCAATATCGAAGCATCACCGATACATCACATTCAACATACGTAGCAATTATCCGAAATGACCAGACACACGAAAGCGCACAATTCCATTTTTCACTACACTGAATTTTCATAAGTCATCCCTAAAACTTAGATATAGAAGGTGTAACAATATAATCGTTACTACGCCACAAGGTGGCCGAATCATTTAATAATTTTAACCGAATATCTAATATGGTTCTTCAGTCAGAAACAGAAAAATTTCACTAGAAACCAAGAAAAGTGTACCGAACTGTTACATGATATCTGTCCTCCTTTATGTCAGTGATTGCTGGACAGTCTCTTCAAAAAATGAAGAAGAGACTTCAAGAAAGAGAAATGTAGCTCTACAGAAGGATGCTGAGAATACCATGAACGGAATAAGTGAGCAACGAGAAAGTTTTAGAGAAAATGAAAACAAAAATGAAACTTATCAGTCGAAAGCAGTTGAACTTTCTCGAGCACATAATGAGGAAAGAGGGCTTGGAACATTTGATACTCACAGGACAGATTGAAGGCAAGAGGGTTAGAGAAAAACGATGTATAACATACTTAGTAAGTTTGAGTAAATGGATGATGAAACAGGGTTTAGGAGAAATAACAAGACAAAATTTATTAAGAGCTAGAAAGGACAGGAAATTGTGGAGAGCCGTGAGCTCCTATGCCCTGAAGAGGCAAGACACAAAGTAGAAGAAGAGTCAGATGCTGAGTTCATCATGCACTTAATATGAGAGAAATGAGGAAGTTTTAAACAAAAAAAGGGACTAAAATGGCTTACAGTGAAAAATCAATACTCACATGACATACTTAAGATAGAAGGAGCAGAGAGAAATGGCGAGTGACCTTCCTAACTAGTTTGTGTGAATGGGTGGCACAGTGGGGACAAAGACGAGTGGTTTAGAGCTATAAGGAACAGAGGTTTATGGCCAGGCAATGTTGAAACACCGGTTCCCGTACAATCACTGGTGTTACGAAACGTCAGTACCTAAATGGGTGACCGCCTGGAGATAACAGGTGCTGTAAGCTTGGATGTGCAGATGGTGTTGTAAAGGATAAAGGCTCGGAATTGTTAATCGGAGAGTCGAGTTCCCGTACGATCTCCGAAGTTAAGCAACGTTGAGCCTGGTCAGTACCTAAATGGGTGACCGCCTGGAGATAACAGGTGCTGTAAGCTTGGATGTGCAGATGATGTTGTAAAGGATAAAGGCTCGGAATTGTTAATCGGAGAGTCGAGTTCCCGATCTCCGAAGTTAAGCAACGTTGAGCCTGGTCAGTACCTAAATGGGTGACCGCCTGGAGATAACAGGTGCTGTAAGCTTGGATGTGCAGATGATGTTGTAAAGGATAAAGGCTCGGAATTGTTAATCGGAGAGTCGAGTTCCCGATCTCCGAAGTTAAGCAACGTTGAGCCTGGTCAGTACCTAAATGGGTGACCGCCTGGGGATAACAGGTGCTGTAAGCTTGGATGTGCAGATGGTGTTGTAAAGGATAAAGGCTCGGAATTGTTAATCGGAGAGTCGAGTTCCCGTATGATCTCCGAAGTTAAGCAACGTTGAGCCTGGTCAGTACCTAAATGGGTGACCGCCTGGGGATAACAGGTGCTGTAAGCTTGGATGTGCAGATGGTGTTGTAAAGGATAAAGGCTCGGAATTGTTAATCGGAGAGTCGAGTTCCCGTACGATCTCCGAAGTTAAGCAACGTTGAGCCTGGTCAGTACCTAAATGGGTAACCGACTGGGAATAACAGGTGCTGTAAGCTTGGATGTGCAGATGGTGTTGTAAAGGATAAAGGCTCGGAATTGTTAATCGGAGAGTCGAGTTCCCGTACGATCTCCGAAGTTAAGCAACGTTGAGCCTGGTCAGTACCTAAATGGGTAACCGACTAGGAATAACAGGTGCTGTAAGCTTGGATGTACAAATGGTGTAATGGATAATGGCTCGGAATCTTTAATCGGAAAGCTGAATTCCTATTCCAGTTGGCTTCGTTATATTCACTTACGCGCAAATACCTTTAGGAAAGGTATGAAGCCACCTCTTCTCCCCCAACTATGGGTTAATTAGTAAGACTTGTATCACTAAAGCCATTATTATCTCCCAAAATAAATAAGTTAAATTGCGTGCGAAATATTTAAATTTCAGCATTAAATAACACATAGAAGTTGATATGCCGTTAAAAAATAAATAACTAACCTACAAGGAACATGAATTTGGAGAAAGTCATGATCGCCCACGTCCTGAAGGGTCACGGCGCATAACGAAGTCTACCTGTTAGCATACACATACCGATTAAACTCACAGTTATTAATTCACAATCAATTCTGATTGGCAAACTTAGAGTCTTAAACCAATCCTGATGAGATAGTTGCTACTGATTGTCAGGCTTGATTGCACTCACCGAGTCTTTTCTTTTCCTGAAGGTGTTGCAATTTTATTTTAGATCACCGTATGCGATATCAAAATCCGAAGGCTCATTGGAATAGGGAAAAATGCCTTCCAGAAACTAAGCAAAGTATTAAGAAACAGGAAAATTTCGTTAGAAACAAAGAAAAGAATACTGAACTGTTATATAATATCCACCTATATGTCAATGAATGATGGACAATCACAGACAAAGAAACTTGACGTATTCGAAATGTGTTTCTACAGAAGGATGCTGAAGGTACCATGGACTGAATATGTGAAGAACAACGAAGGGAAAATAGAAACAAATATGACGCATATACTTAACATCAGTTGAAATTTTTCGGAAATTTATGAGGAATGAGGGCTTGAGGGATTTGACTTTCATAGGATATTGTAGCGGACCGTGGGTTTACGTGTTGTTCAATGAAACACGTGTATGGCTCCTGATATGAAATAAAGCCCACTATAAGAATATGGCGGACTCAAGTTGAGTCCAACCAAAGAAATGTAAAGAAAACAAAGACCGATATATATACACAAACAAGTGTATGCATGAGACAACAACAGAATTTACAAATGGAGAAAGACATTAATGTGTGAGTGTGTGTGGAAATTTAGTGTGTCAATGAATGTTCGTACGTACGTGTGTGTGTGTGTGTGTTTCATGGCGTTTTCCCATAAGTGGGAAACGCGTATCTTTTGAGAGAGCCTACATTGTTGTAGTGTCCGCTGAAATATCGAACTGAAAAAGAGGATGAGAGAACGAAGTATTCGAGTATTTATAGTTTAGTGGGTAGCGTCCCCTAGTGAAGAATTTAGATAATTAGTAAATTAAGGAGAAGTTAACTCCGACAATATATTGGCAAACGGGGACTGAGGAAAGTAACGAAAAAAAAACTACCTAACGAGCTTGTATATAGTTGGTAGGACAGGGATTAGGAGAAATAGCAAAAACACAAGCTTTACTAATAGCTACAAAGGACAGGAAGTTGAGGAGAGCTATGATCACCCACGTCTTGAAGGGACACAGCACATAGAAGAAGAATGAAAATATATTGTAAAAAGACATGTAGATAGTAGCTTTATACTGCGGCGTGGGTGAACAATTTTAGGAAAAATTACAAAATTTTCACTAGAATTTTTATATATGAAAAAAAAGAAATATAATTGAAGTTAAATAAAGACATTAATCTTTTTTTATATTTAAACATGCGCTCAGATGACGTGGTGTAATGGTTAACAAGTTTGTCTCGCTAGAATTAATTATAACTAAGTAGTGAGTTTCATCCTCACTGGGTGCCCCATACTTTCGGCCTTGTGCCACATTTAAGCTACGCTTTGAAAATCACCGTATATACTCTGACAAAGGCGAGACGACAGCACAGAGAGCAGAATTTCTGTTGCGTTTGTCGTCTGTTTTTCCATTGGACAATAACGAACAGTAAATTACAATAGTTTCAATATTTCTCTAACGTTGTGTGGAAACATTTTGCATTAACTTCGTTACAAAACAAATACCTTTTACAACGGCGAAGTTATATAAATCTAAAAATCGAAAAAATTACGTTATCATATTATAACGCTTTTTTAATTTCAAAATTTGTTACATGATAACGTTTCTAGCGGACAACAAATTTATTCGAAGGGGACTTTTTGTGCCACTTTGGCTTGTTATGTACAGGATGAAAAATATCTATTCTACACTGTACAAGTTTTATTTTGGAATGATATCTACATAGTAAAACATAATATATATATATATATATATATATATATATATATATATATATAACATAGAGAAAATGAAATAATAACAAAAATATTCCATTAATTTCAATCGATAAACAGCATGTACATCGGCTAGATGACATACCACAGTAGATTCATGACGCATAGATAACAATCCAGTGTTTTTGTTTTAGTCAAGCAAGAAGACGTGAGTTTAAAGTAAACGCTACCTAATATTGTTTTTGATAAGTTTATATGGATCCCATTGCACAATGATGTACTGTGTAAACTTGAAAGACACTTCTAATATTTCCCTAACATTGTGAACGGATGAGACCGGAAAATTTGCAATAATCACACACACACGCACATATATATATATATATATATATATATATATATATATATATATATATATATATATATATATCGTGTTTGTGTTTGTGTGTGTGTGTTTAGATGCCATAGCTTGTATGATCACGTGTGAGTACATGCTCTTATCTGAAATGCAAATGAGCGCGTAGGCGTTATTCTCGAGAAAGTGTATCCATTACGATTCCATTGCTAATGATATCACTTCCAATTTTTAATATGAAGGATCTTTTTGGATTGACAGAAAATAATGGGCTGCCTTTTCCAGGACAGCGAGACCTTGGATCGGTCATTGTGCAGACTAAATTTTGATAATTAATTTTCCCATTGACTTCTCGGAATGACATACGGGTTAGCATCCGAAATCTGATAAAGTCTGTAGTTCAATTTCCTATGTGCCTTATTAAAAGATTTTTTTTCCTTTGAAATTATGAGATTTTATTATTAGACATTTAAAACGTTCTTGTAGGTAATCAATATCTGATTTTAAAATTAGGTATATGATGGATTAGATTTCTTAATTTTAAAAAAGAGACTTCCTTTTTATTTTTTGGATAAGTGATGTCAAGAGAACCGTAAAATACTTCGAGAGAGACGGGAAATACTGGATAACTTGAGGGATGAATAAATTGGTCAGTTTGTTCATGAGTGGGTATTGTCGTAACGTCATTGTGCAGCTGATCACCTGGCCAGTTCCTTCGATATATCTCGGTTGAAAGCCAGAAAAAAAAAGTATTCTTTCATTCATTCATGTATGTATACCATGTCTCGGGCAAGTAAACCTGTCGGGACTCATGCTTCTACATGTCAAACCACAACTTGTGTCCTTCAACTTGACGGCTCGCTTTGGTCACAGCACGTGATCGTTGATTCCATCGGGAGTAAGCCACCGCCGTTGCCCTTTCCTTCAGTCTAAGAATCTCTGTCTCATCGTCAGGGATCTTGACAGAATGTCCTGTTACTGACATGCCACGATAGTACACAAAGAGAATTGTGCGTGAGTGGGCACATGATAAGATCGTTACCTTACCTTATACGTTCAAAGTAGCAGAAGCAATGATACTTTCATTGTCAACCTCCACCAATCAACAATCAGAGAAACAACAATATTGAATAATCCACAAATTTACTTCACATCGATCCAGGAACGAACTGAGAGTCGAAAAGAGTTCTTGTAAACAAGAGAAAAGCAGTCAATTTACTGACGACGCTCGACGATACTGGTCTAAAGACTTATGGATCAACTAGGGTTTTGCCTGTTTTCCCGGTAACCATTCTGAATCTACATCAACCTCACTTTAACATGAATAGAGGTTTATCCCTTGTTTCCTGTTTAAATTTGGGTTTCCGGTTTCATCTAAAGTCTACCTCAACTCTATACTTCTACCTAAACTATATATATATATATATATATATATATATATATATATTTACAAATTCATGAATTATTCATACAAAAACAAATGCAAAGGTTAATGATTTAATTGGCGAGAAATCCATCGTCGCAAAAAAAAATTCGCTTATCACCATATTTGTACAAGAACGCACAACTGTAAAATTTAAAATCAAACTCAGCGTTGCTACTGCACGCTCCAAAAACAATAACTCATTTCCAATAACATTTTTCGGATACAACAATACATTTATTTTCGTTGTCCTCTTATTACTGAGAGAAAAAACAAGAACAACATCTATTCCATACCTGAAGATGTCTGTAGGAACAGACGAAAGCTTGTAGTAAAAATAAGAACTAATGCAGCAGAAATTTATAGAAACAAGGATCTTTTCATTCATAACAGGTTCGGGGTTTTTTGTACATTATTTGAATTGTTTGCGACGATGGATTTCTCGCCAATTAAATCATTAACCTTTGCATTTGTTTTTGTATGAATAATTCATGAATTTGTAAATTGATTGCACGTTTATCGAAATTAATATATATATATATATATATATATATATATATATATATTTTCTTCAACAGGACAGATAGTTTCGCTTATTGTCCCGTTCGCACTCCACACCGGTCTTTACAAGATAAGTAGAGGTTTATCCCTTGTATCCTGTTTAGGATTGGGTTTCCGGCTTCTTCTTAAGTCTTTTAAT